TAGTAGCAAGAGGATTTCTACATAAATCTGGGTTAGATTACTTTGAAGTGTTTGCGCTTATAACTAGACATGAAACAATTAGATTGGTGATTGCTATAGTTGCAAATAGAAATTGGTATCTGTTACATTTGGATGTGAGATTTTCCATTCTAAATGGTCCATTGCAAGAAGAGGTATACTGTCACAACCTCTTGGATCTATGAAAAAGAATCAGGAAGGGATGATGTACATGTTACATAAAACGTTGTATGGAGTGAAACAAGCTCCTAGAGCTTGGAATCTAAAAATTGATTCATTTTTAAGTTCAAAGGATTCATAAAGTGTGAGATGGAGTATGACTTTTATGTTCAGCATATTTTTTAAGGCAATATGATTCTAGTATGTCTTTTTGTTGATGACATATTGTTGACAGGAAGTTGTTCATAGGGGATAATGAAGTTCAAGAAGGTGCTGATAAATGAGTTAGAGATTACTGATCTGAAAAATATGGTATATTTTTTAGGGATAAAGATTTTGTATCCTAAGAAGGGTATAATATTACATCAGCTGAAGTATGAACTTAAACTTCTGAAGAGATTTGAGCTGACAAATTGCAAGACTGCAATCACACATGCTGAAGCGAATCACAAGTTGAATTTTGATATTGAGGGTGATGATGTAGATGCTACAGTTTTTAAACAGATGGTTGGCTCATTGAGATATCTTTTTAACACCATATCTGACATCTGTTATGCAATTGGAAAGGTAAATAGGTTCATGAACAAACCAAAGTAGTCACATTACCAAGCTATTATTAGGATTCTAAGGTATATTAAGAGGACTATGAGGTATGGATTTTTATTCCATTTTGGTGTTAAGTCTGAATCAGAACTGATGTGCTATACATATTCTAATTGGTGTGGAGACAAAGTTGACAGAAGAAGTACTTCTGAATATTTCTTCAAGAATCTTGGTTGTCCTATCTCTTGGTTCTCCAAGAAGCAACCAGTGGTTGCATTGTCAATCTATGAAGCTAAGTACATTGAAGGTGCTTTGTCTACGTGTTAAGCTATTTGCCTTATGAATTTGTTGCAGGATCTAAAGATTAAAGTGAACAAACATGTAAAGCTGAGGATTGACAATAAATCAGTCATAAATCTTATAAAGAATCCAATGTTGTATGGTAGAAGCAAGTATATTGACACGAAGTTTCATTTTATGAGGAATCAAGTTCAGAATTAAGTGTTAAAAGTTGTAAATTATATTACTCATAGCAACTTGCAAATGTGTTGATTAAAACTATGAAGACCGAACACTTTATCAATTTAAGGGATGTAATTGATGTTGTATAGTTTAGTTAGTTGAATATAAATTAAAGAATGATATTAGAAGTAATTAATATATATAAATAATATTAGTTTATGTATAAGTAATATTAATTTTGTTAAACTTAAAGGATTTTTGCTAACAAAATGTCGCAACATTTTTTTAAGTAGTACGGTAACATGGAAAAGCAATGTATAATTTTTATTTAAAAAATTGCGATACAAGTGAAATTTATATACAATTTTTTTAAAGTTGTTTTTGTATAAACTTAAGCTAAAACTATGCAAGTGAAATATTGAGTAGAGATAATCTCCAATCTCTTAATATACAATTGTGCGTAGACTAAAATTTCCATAATAAGGTGCTTAAATTGAGGTTGAACTCACATGTTTGATGGAGTGATATTCAAAATTTGACTTTGACGTTAATGATATATTTGATTATGAGAAGAAAGTGAGGGGTGATAGATTATACTAAGAAATAGAGTAAGTTTAATGCTCTTTGTACAAGAGAGGGAAAAAAAAAAGAAAAAGAAATACCGCAAAGATAGATAGAAAAAAATAAGTGATTATTTTAGAGATTATAAAAGTGTTTTTGAATTAAAGGTATTTGCTATCAAAATTAATTTATCTTTTTTATATTAATAATTTAATTGTTGATACAATTCATAAAAATTGTGTTTTTAGAGATTAAAATCAAAATATTTTCAAATTTAACTTTGCATCTTCTAACATACTAAGTATGCATTCACTAATTTGAAATGAAATATATATATATATATATATATATATATATATATATATATATATATATATATATATATATATATATATATATATATATATATATATATATATATATATATATATATATATATATATATATTATTGTAGTACGTATTAGGTAACTAACTACCCATACTGTCTTTTGGCTTTTCAAAGAATGAGTTTGGACTCAATCATGAGACCAACCCCCTAACTATTTTTTACTTCAGACCTTAACTAGTGATAATTTGTACTAGTTTGTTCGGTTAGAATTGATTTACTAATTAATCATATAAGAAATGCTTGATAATAAACATTAGAATTATATTATATATATTTTTTCCAATGATAAATCAACTATTCTAATGAATTTGATTGTCTTGATGTATTTAGGAGGACAACGTTAATAATTATTGAAGTTGGTGTTGTTATATGTTCAACTCTTATTATTAATTTGAAGTTATTTTAAATCTCATTAAATAGAAAATTTAAGTTTAAGTGAAATGCTTATGTGATTGGTGTATTTGGCATAAAAATTTGAAAATTTTAGAGTTGTGAAAAAAAGGTGTGAGAAAGTTCTTTTAACCGTGTCTGTCTGAATTGTTTGAGTTATCAGAGTGTTGTGAAGTAGAAGAGTAATTTTTAAAATATTAAGGTAACTCACACATACGTAAAATGTAACATCCCATATATTATATATTTAAAAAATACATTATATGAAATATTAATTGGTATTGATAAAACACAAGTGTCTAACTGATATCTTTATATATTTATGTCTAAAAAGAAATTTTCCAATTATGACACATGATATACAAGACTTGTATATCTATCACTACAAGAAAATGCTGTATTTCCCTAGTGAATTAGTGACGTGGTAAACACGTGGGTAAAAAATTGTGTTGCCAAGTGATAACCACGTCACTAACATTTTTTATTAATAAACTTTGCTATGCCAAACTCTAGAACGAAAATTTGAAATTTTACGCGAGAGGAAAATTTAAATTTTCCACAAATTCTGTTGTGGCGTGTTAACCACTTGGGAAGTTAAAATTCAAAAAGGTCACAAAATACCCACATGATTTTCACTTCGCAACCACTTACATCAATAATTATCTTCCCGTTGCGTTGGCATTTAGTGGACCAACGGTAATAATTTAATATTGAGGGATGTTCCGTCTTTAAATTCACGTCGCAAGTTTCTGATGTAAATGCCACGTCGCAAGCTTTATGAGATAAGTTGGCAATTAATGAAAATGAAATTGCGACCTTCATTTCACGTCGCTAATTTCTGAAGGGTTTGTCACGTCGCAAACTACCCACCTGACCTGCACGTCGCAACTTTCTAATGTTAATGCCACGTCGCAACCTCCCTTATATAAACCAAATCTCAGAATTTCTTCAAGTCCTCGTCTCTTGCAAAACTCCCGCGTCTCCTTCTTCTTCCCCCTTTGTTTTTCTCTTCAGTTGCTGTGCTGGTGCTGTTACCTCAACAAAGTTTCATTTGCAAAAAAATTAAGGTGATATATTAGTTGGTTTTGTGATTGTTTCATGTTATAGTTTATTTTATATTTTTTTTATTATTAACTGTTAATTTTTTAGTATAATGATATATAGTACAATTGTGCAGTATGGAATGTTTTCAATTTATATTTAATATTTAATTTTTATTTTAATTTTATAGTAGCTTTCAGTTAATATTATTTTTTTTATAATTAAATTTAATAGTGAAGTGGATCCCATGTCACTAATTAGTGACGTGGGAATCACATGGGAAGAATATTAATTCAATGTGGTTTCCCACGTGAAAACAAGGTCACAACTTTGTGACGTGGATATCACATGGGTAATAAAGTATACTTGTGTCAGGAAAGCGTGCAGAGAAAGTTGGTAAAGTAATGTTCCCACATGATTTTCACGTCACTAATTTGTGACGTGTTTACCACGTGGGAAAAAGTTCCCACCATTGCATTTCCGACGTGTTTAACCAACGTCGCAAATTTTTTTAGTGAAGTAGTTTTTATATTAGTGACGTGAATATCACTTGGGAAACTGCAATATTTCTTGTAGTGTATTAGATTAATTGTTTAGTATGTTAATTGAAAAGTAGATTTTAGTTTTCTTATAAATAATATAGTCATCACTTCTACTTTAATCTCTGATAATCCTCATCAGAGGAAGAAAATTGTATGACTGAAATTCAATTGTAAACATTATTTTCTAATATGTAATTGAATCAAGAATTCAGTTTTTAATCACTTTAATTGTTTTTTCTCTTCTCTTTTTCGTTCATCAAGAAATCCACCCTAGTAGCATTGCTTTCATAACAACACTCATTTCTCAAAAGGAGTTCTTAGTAGTAGTTGAAAAAACATGGATAATATTTTATGTTTTGAGAAATAATTATAATTAGTCACATAGAAGTAGTTAGAAAAAAATAATTGTAGTTATGAGTGGCTTTTTCCATGCAATAATAATAATTGTAGTACGCATTAGGTGAAACTCATATCATGTTTTGGCCTTTAAATGAATGTCTTTGGAATCAATTGTGACAGCCACCCCTTCACTATTTTTTAACTTCAACCCTCACTTAGTGATAACCAACATCAAAACTCCCCAAATACACATTCCCATTAACTCAATCCAAAATCCCAAAAGCTAAAAGCTAACAAAAGCAAGAACAATAAATTAAAACCGTAGGTACAAAACATTACATAAGCAACAATAAGCTTTAACCATTTATCACTCCACTCTCACTGCTTTTTCTCACCGCGCTTATTTCCACAATCATATTCTCTTCTCCTTTCCTCATCTTTAAGCAACAAAATCCAAAACTTTCTATTCTCACTTTTCATTTCATAACATAACATAACATAACATAACCACTTTCTCTTTTTTTTTCTTTCCTTGTACTCTGTTTCGAACATAAACATGGTACTCTCTCTTCTCTTCCTAGTCACAATCTTAACCATGACAACCTCGTCATTTTCCGACACTAACTCTTACATCTTCGGTGGTTGTTCTCGTCTCAAATTCTCACCTGGTTCCAACTACGAAACCAGCGTAAACTCGATCCTCTCCTCATTAGTTAACTCGGCAACGTTCACAACCTACAACAATTTCACTGTTCCGGGAGCCACCGCGTCGGAAACCGTCTCCGGACTTTTCCAGTGTCGCGGTGATATTACCAATGATCAGTGTTCAACCTGCGTCGAGCGTGCGGTGAGTCAACTCGGAACACTCTGTTTTGAAACCTACGGTGGCGCGTTGCAGCTCGAAGGTTGTTTCGTGAAGTACGATAATGTTAAGTTTATTGGAGTAGACGACAAGACGGAAGTGGTCAAGAAATGTGGACCGTTGATTGGGTTGACTTCTGATGCAAGAGATGATGTGCTGGCTTATTTAGAGTCGTCCGATGGGGTTTATAAAACTTTTAGAAGTACTTCTTCTGGGGATTTTCGGGGTGTGGCGCAGTGCACGGGGGATTTGAGTTCTAGTGAGTGTCAGGATTGTGTTTCTGATGCGATCCAACGGTTGAAAAGTGAATGCGGAGGTTCTACTTGGGGTGATATGTATTTGGCTAAATGCTACGTGCGGTACTCGGAAGGTGGAATTCACTCGCGAGGTCATAACGGTAAGTGGTTTTCAACTCGACTATATAACATATCTTGTTTTAGTTTTAATATCTGATCATAAAATCGACTATTTAAGAAGATTCATCTTACCCCTTATTAATGATATTTGATTATAGGAGCGTGAGGTTGAATATGTGACTTTTTAACTATTCATCGTTGATGGGTGATATTTAGAATATGTGTATTTGTTGAATTGATATTGAATATTTAGATTTTAATGTGTATTTTATTGAAAATTATTGAGTGAGAATTGTCTTTGCTTTGTTTTGAATTTTGCTTACAAGCTCATGATCTTCCCATGTGGAGAGGTATGGAAAATTAGAATTATCATTTACATTTTATTATGTTAAACATTAATATTAGAGTTCGAATTGTAACTCTCACGCTTATGTAATTTTCTGATATTTATTATCATTTTTGTTGTTGAATTTGAACAACATAGATGATGAAAATGACAATGATGATGAGATTGAAAAGACACTAGCCATACTAATTGGACTCATTGCTGGTGTTGCATTGATAATAGTTTTCCTTTCCTTCTTGTCCAAAGTTTGTGAAAAGCAGAGAGGTATGTATGATTTTGTTGCACATTTTTTCTTTTCTTAATTTTACACATTTACTAATTACTAATATTCTCTTTATGAACTATGTTTTGTAGGTGGTAAATGAAGAGTGTGTTATTATGTGGATAGTAATAGGATTGAACTTTTGTCTTTGTCTATTTTATTTGTATTCAATCTTTTCTAAGTTTCCACCATAATTCCCTTTGCCATTGAAAGTGTATAACTATATTTAGAAAGATCTTGTGGAAAAATACTTCTTTACCTTTACAATAAGGTCAAAATCACATGGAAAATCACATTGAGACAACTTCTCAAAATTAGGATAAAAAAGCCTTATACGTGTGATAATGGTGATCCATCATATAACCAAAAATAGATTCAGATTTCACTGTTTTTATTGATTTGGTCATGGTCTTGTGTACAAATAGTGATCATTTAAGTGGAAAATGCATCATGCAATGTTATATAGCCTTTAATGAATGTTAATTAGAGGTTTCTTTATTTATTATATTAGAACATGATGAGTAACTTTACTTTTCATTCAAAAAAGTTAAATTAAGACAAGTTTGATCACATTTCTGTCAAATCTATGTTCCTACTAAATTATAACTTAGTTATTGGTCTTTTTCTTTACCTTGTTTCTATTTGGACCATTATGATTATACCTAATTTTATGTACTCATTATTTATGAATCAAAATATAAATTTTGATGTAAATTATATTAAAAAATAGAGGCGGCAAACGAGTATGTCCATCCTGTTTAAATTCGTCATGTAAAAATTTTATACTCGTCTTACAAAATGAGAAGACAGGACAGAAAAACCTGCAAAAATTACACATTTTAACCTTAAAAATACAAAATTTTGTGAAAATATTTGCGCCCGTATTAACATTCCTACTCAAAATAATTAATATATACCAATGTTTGACCAAGCATTATAGTCTTTTCCTATAACATTTTTTAAACATTAATATCACCAAATTATAGCATGCAATGATTAAGTGAGTATGATTATGACTCTATACAAGAAGAAAAGGATGAAAATGTGATTAGTTAAAGAGAAAAGATGAATAAGATGTTGGTATAAAGTATCAATAATTATAGGACCATGTCATTTATTTTAGTCATGAAATCCCTTGAGAATCTTCTTTGTTTCCATCTTTATGTCATCAATTGCTTTTTTGAGCCACTTTTAGTATATGGACTCTGTTTTTTAACCAACTCTATCCAATCTTTGGCACTATTTAATATCACTACTTTATTATCTCTTTTACTAACCTCATTATGAAATTCTAAACTCTTTGTCTCTCTTTTCTTAAACAGATTATATTATACCATACTATAAACCATAACGTGATAATTATAGATTCAAGTATGTTCATGATTTATTGTATGTCATTGCATTAACAAATTCATATATTTGAAAATAGATATGATGAGATTAAGGAAAGAGATATATAAAAGTTTTAAAAAAAAGTGTATGCAGGGCCATAAAATGAAACAAGTAGATGGAAATAGATATGATGAGATTATGGAATTATTCAATTAAATTGGTTTTAGTTTTATTTAATGTTTGGTTCAAAACTTAACTAAATTAATCAAAACCAACTTCAATTGTGAGTGTGTCAGTTTTACATTGTTCAAAGTCTACCACTCGAGAACTAAATTAAACTATAATATTTATTATTATCTTTTTTATTTCACACTATTTTAGTTGTATAATCTTTTTTTATAAAAAAATTGTGTTATTGTATGATTTTTTGTGTTTATTGTAAAGCACACTACGAACCATGTTCCTAGCAGATTAGTAGGAGTGTTTGAGATGTTTCAATCAATTTTGAGAAGGAAATTTCATAAAAAAAAAGTACGTGGTTCTAATCGATTTTGAGAAAAAATTATCATATTTAAAGATAAAAGTATATGTTGGTCAAATGATCTAACAAGATCGGTCCAATACCAACGTTCAATCCAGAGTTTCATCTATAGACGACGAATAAGTAAATCTTCACTGAAAGAACACACACTAGAATGCAGCACTAAACTTATCACAGTCAGTTGGAATCAATACAACAGTCTTCTGTATTCTACGTTGCATTCATCAAGGGAGATTTTAATCGTCACTCATATAAATGCAATCACGACCCGCCCAATATATGATTCATTTACTCTTACAAGTTTCAACTCTTTCAACTCACTAACTTGGGTGTTGGGGCTTCTAGATAGAAATGCATCACCACCTCGCCAAATTTTTAGTTCAACATATGAATAATGGCATTGTCTATGAGAATCATTTTTTTACTCTCATGGAAATTCATGTCAAAGTTCTTTGATCTTCTCTGTTGCATCACCAAAACTATTTTGGTTAGCCGATCAAATCGTCACAAATTTTCTCAACTAGCAACAATAGCTTCCAAATCAACTCGAATGTTCGTTCATCGCAACAATGGTCCTGCAATTATAGTCGTTGCGTCAGTATTCACCGCCACTCATGAAGATTCCCATTTTTCTATTGGGGTAGGCGGTCCAGTTCTTGTGACATGTTCAACCACCTCATCTCCCCAGAATCGGGTTCCTCCACCAATCATCCAATGGACTTTCCATGCCTTGTGGCCCTTCCTGGGAAGACAAATTCAATTTAGAGTATAGTTTTCATAAAGACAAATGACTATCAAAGAAGAAAAAAGTTCTCAATTAAGGTTCAAAGTTCAAAAAGACTCCAAGACAATGAACAAGTATGCACAACCTTTAGGATGTCAATGAAAATTAAAAATAATTGATTATGAAGTAAGGTATAAAATGTCAACTCATCTTGTATAAACTTTATATGCTAAAAAATCCTTCATTTCTTCATCTCTAAAGTTTACTCAACATTCAAACATCATAAACATTCAAGTCACAACTTCTCAAAGTCCAAAAAATAAATTTCATATTAGTGTAACCAATTATACTATATATATATATATGTTCTGGTATGGGCCCGACCTCGGTCCAGCCCAATACCACGCACGGCCCAATAAGTGAACTGGCCACGCCGGGCACGCGCGTCCCGCAGGACGGGCAGAGCACGCCACCGGCCACAGGCGACGCATCCGACAGCATCTCGACGTCCCCTCTTATCGGCCGAACAGGACACACCCCAGCGCATCGAAGCGAGGCCTTGGTTCCTCCCCAACCTCGCAGGCTCCCCTCCGCGGGGAGGACAACGTGCCCGGCGCACGTTCTCCACGTGCTCCCCTCCGCGGGGACACGTCATCAACCAACTGCCCACCTCCGAAAGAGCAGGTCAAACCCACTTTCCGGAAATCAAGGAGCAGTTGGACTAGGGCGAAGACCACGTCCTGGTCTTCACTACGCCACGTAAGCCCTAGCAGTCATTAGGGTTGGGCCTGGTCATCCAGCCCACCTCAAATGACCGTTGGCCCAGCGCTGGGGTCTCTCTATAAATACCATCTTCCTCAAGAGGTTCAAATAACACACTTCTTACCCCTCTTTCTGTACTTCGCCATCGCTCTGCCCAACTTCTCACTTTGGCATCAGAGTGTTTTGCAGGTACACCCCCTTCCTCTTCCTCATCACCGTCGAGCAAGCAGCAGTCCAACAGAGTGTGGCCAGCCCGTGATCCCCTTCTGATCAAGTCAGATCAATATATATATCTATATATCTATATCTATATATATATATATATATATATATATATATATATATATATATATATATATATATATATATATATATATATATATATATATATATATATATATATATATATATATATATATATATATATATATATATATATATATATATATATATATATATATATATATATGATCTGACCTGATCAGGAGGGGATCACGGGCTGGCCACACGCTGTTGGGCTGCTAACTGTTCACCGGTGATGAGGAGGAGAAGGGGGGGTGTACCTGCAAGACACTCCGATGCCAAAGTAAGAAATTGGGCAGAGTGAGAGCAAAGTACAGAAAGGGCAAGATGTGAATTACCTGACCCTCTTGAGGAAGAGGGTATTTATAGAGAGACCCCAGCGCTGGGCCAACGGTCATTTGAGGTGGGCTGGATGACCAGGACCAACCCTAATGACTGCTAGGGCTTACGTGGCGTAGTGAAGACTGGGACGTGGTCTTCGCCCTAGTCCCACTGCTCCTAGATCTCCGGAAAGTGGGTTTGACCTGCTCTTTCGGAGGTGGGCAGTTGGTTGATGACGTGTCCCCGCGGAGGGGAGCACGTGGAGAACGTGCGCCGGGCACGTTGTTCTCCCTGCGGAGGGGGGGCTCGGGAGAGACCCTGGAGCGCGTTGTTCTCCCCGCGGAGGGGAGAAGCCACGACCGTGTTTTGATGCCCCGGGGCCTGTTCTGTCCGGCTGGTAAGAAGGGACGACGAGATGCTGTTGGACGCGCTACTTGTGTCTGGTGGCGTGCTCTGCTCGTCCTGCGGGACGCGCGTGCCCGACGTGCTCGATTCGCCCGTTGGGCCATACGTGGTATTGGGCCTGCCGAGGTCGGGCCCATACCGGAACAGGAGCCCCCCAAGTCGAAGCTCTGGGGAGAGAGCGAGGACTTAAGGTCGCTGTGTCGGGGGGAGAGGTAACGAAACAGGAGGTTCGCAGGGATTCGTGCACGGTGGGACGGACACTCGTGCGGGGATCTCTGGTTGTCGGCGGAGCGGGGGTGAAGGCAGGTGAAGGGGCTCGACTGTCAGGCTGCCGCCACGTGTCGTGTGTTGAGCGGTCGTAGGGGCGGCTACCCTATGTCATTAATGAGCCTAGCGTCGCTTCGAATCCCGCGCCGGGTTATAAATACGGGGGTCCCCGCTCATTTTATTACTTTTCACTCTGCTGTTGTATCTGCGAAGCTCTGTCATCTCTGCTCGTCCGCCGCTTGCCGTCGATCGCCGCCGCACCGTTTGATCCTTTCCTCCGTTCGCCGCCGTTACAAGTGAGTTCTCATTTCTCTCCTCTTTTATTTCCGTCGTTTAATTGGAACGTGTGGTCGGGGCATGATGAATGCCCCGAGGAGGGACGCGAGACCCGCCGTATCTGGCGAACTTTCTGATGAGTGTCCCGGGGAGAATCGGCTGTTCCGATGAA